GTGGACTGACCGGGTGTGACGGCTGCATCGCGGCTTCTGAGGGACCGCCGCACGTCTGTGAGGTCAGCAGGTCAGGCCTCTGAAGGGTCCAGAGGTGGTGCACCAGCGAGCCTCTGAAGGACCGCCCGACGACCAGCGGGTGGGCTCTCGCCCAGTGGTGGTGCACCAGCGCAACACGCCGCCGAGAAATAGCGAACGGGCGAGAGCATCAGCGGGCCCGATTAAAAGAGCTCTCTGAAATTTCGGCATCAAGCTAAGAAACCAGAAAGCGAATCAATAGACCAAGGGGTGCTGGGCGTGGCCTGAGAATGCAGACGAATGAACAAGCCAATCATCGAATCACGGCAGGTGTATCGGCTCGGCTGTCTTAGACACAGGACGACCCTCGGATCGTCCTGTGTGTCCCGTCCAGTCCGTCCCGTCCAGCTCGTGGTGGGTTGGATCCTCTTTAAACAGATTTTGAAAATAGCGGTGCCTAGATCCAGTCGCCATGCAGCGGCCTTCCCTGGATTGCCCTCGCTGCTTGGAAATGCAAGACAATCCCATTTTCCAACCGGAGTCAAGTCTATCGGCGCTGAATCGCATTCGTGCCGTGCTGTCGACAGCGGCGGAAAGTTGCAATTGTTCTCAGCATTCGGGCCACCCCCGGGCACAGCGGCGACACGCGAGCCGCGCCGCGCGACCGATCTCGCCCAACACCGGGCCGGACAGCGGGCCTCCACCCGAGGAAAGTCGCCGCTGACGGGCGCCGAGAATGAAGCCAAAAGTCCTGCAGGAGTCGTGGCTCGCCCCAGCGGCGACCCGCCCGTCCAGTGACGCATGTTGTGCTGCCCACCGCGTAGCGTACGGTACTTTCCGGTGCCCGTCCATAGAGCGAATATCCATGCCGAGGTCGCTTGCCTCTGTCCGATCGATAATCGCGGCAGGGTTTTTGTTTGACGTAAATGACTGCCGTACTCCACAGCGCCATTCTCTTTCGACCATTGGCTCGGCTGTGACCGCGCCTGCCGTCCCCGGAGCTGAGCGACGAGCCGCCGCGCTGTGTCGCCCTGCGCCGCCGACCGTTCCGGCTGGTTGTTCGAGTGGCTGCGTCATGCCCGGAGCACTCGGCCGGGCCGGACCGCCCGGGGGTGACCCCGGGGGTGACCCCGGCGGCACCCCCGCCGCGGCCGCTGGCACCCGCCCGGATCCGGCCCGCAGGCGCCGCCGGAGATGGGCCGCCGTCGGCCCGCCGCCGCCGAAATGGGCCGAGGAGAACGGCGGACGGGCCGTACAGAACGGGTGAAACGGAACGAGATGGGTGGAACGGATCGGCGGGCGAGCGGGACGGAACGGGGAACGGACAAAATAGAATGGGTGAAGCGGAACAAAATGGGTAGAACGGAACGCTGGACGAGCAAAATGGAACGTACGGATCAGGCGGAATGAAACAGATGGAACGGGGAAGCGGAACAAGGCAAATATAATGAAGAACACGTCGGGCGGAATGAGCAGAAGGGAGCATGTAAAACGGAACGCCCGGCAGGCTTAACAGTGTGGGTGGAGCGGAACGAGTGAAATGGGATAGATCAGAACAGTCAGATATAGGACATGAGTAGCGTTTATCTAACAGTGTCGGCCGTAACGAAGCGCCATGGATCGGGTGGAAAGGGTAGACCGTGAGGGCTCCTGGCGATTGCAACAACATGGATGGAACGAGGAGTGAGACTTCGGCGCAGAGTGGATCGAATGAAGCGTATGAAACAGGGCGAGTGGACCGAAGTGGTGAATGGTGAATGGGCGGCTCTTGGCAATGACGTGAATCGCGGAAATTGTCAGAAGTTGCCGCTACTCATAGCAGGGCAAGGCTTATGATATCTGATGACACAGCGGAGTTTTCAGCAGTGAAAGATTACACAATCAGGTGTACAGCTCTGCATGGGGTCAACGACAACCAGAATCGCCTCAGCGGGTATGGCCCACAAATAAACGAAACTAATGGGTACATCGGTCGCTCATTTTTGAGGTTTAACCCCTATCGCTGCTCACTGGAACCCCTCCAAGCGTCCATGGCGCAACAGCGTCTCGCCGGCGCGCAGATGTGTCGCGGCAGTGTTGTCAAAGATAGCCTATCTTGTTCAAGTAACGACGCTCTGCTGTTGGTCACAGGCTGCGGCCCGACACAAGGCATCGAAGATGTGCCGCTTGCGATGGACAGACGCTGCGTCATTTCAGATCTGACGCAGGAGACGGCGTGGCTGTTGTCAGCAGCGCCAGAGTACGGAGCAGGATTCCAACGTAGAGATTGACGAGGCAGATAGAAACACTTGACCAGTAAA